TATATATATATTGGTTCTTTGAGACCGGGTCTCCCTGTAGCCCCAGCTGTCCTGGAACTCACTATGCAGACCAGGCTGGCCTTGAACTCACAGAGATCCGCCTGCCTCTGCCTCCCGAGTGCTGGGATTAAAAGCATGCGCCACCACACCTGGCCCGTGATATATATTTTTAAGAATAGTGTAGGTAACAAGAGCTCAAACACAAGGCACAATGCACCTCTTTGCAAAGTAATCTTGTAAGAGGTCTGTGGTCTCCATGACTGAGAGAAGAAAAGGCCTTGATGATCTTAAAGCTGAGCCTGAGCTCAACCACAGCCTATTTAGGTCCTGGCTAGGAATCTTACTGACAAGCAGATCTTGCTGCAGGAAGGCTGGGATGAGGTCAGGTAAAGTCAGGGCACTTGGTCTAGGGACCATACTGAGTAACTGGGCCCTAGAGGATCTAGGTTTCATTTCCCAAAGAACAAACTGTAAGCTGTAGGGTTGTTTGGGTCACCCCTAGCATTGATTCTTCTGATATCTGATACATTTTTCCTGGAGTCACACCCAGCAGGTCTAACTCTCTAGAACCCAGAGCTGTCCACATAAGTGACTGAGGAAAAGCTTCCTTTGCTGTCTCATCTCTGGACCTTTTTTAATTTTTTGGTTTATTTATTTTTATTTTATGTGTATGGGTGTTTTGCTTGCATGTGTGCAAGTGCACCCGGGTCATGCAACACCTGCAGAGGCCAGAAGAGAGCACTGGATCCCCTGGAACTGGAGTTAAAGATAATTGTTAGCCGTCATGTGAGTGCCAGGAACTGAACCCAAGTCCTCTGGAAGAGCAGCCAGTGCTCTTAACCGCTGAGCCATCTTCCCAGCCCTCACTCTGGATCTTGCCATTCCTCTCCATCTCCTTCTCTAGAGTGCTTGTCAGACAGAACTGGGAAATTCTGGGCTGTTCTTCCGCCCCATCAACTTCTCCAGGGTGTATCAGTCAGACAGAACTGGGCATAAACTTCAGAAATAAAATGTGCAGACAGTGCTCACCCATCCTAGGGACTTAGGGGTCTGAAACTTAAGTCAGTTGGTTTGCTTTCTCACAGCATGCTTGTCCAGGTAAAACGCAGAGGCATGAGGCATGGTGGGACGATCACAGTTTCAGACCTGGGTGTGGGTCCAGCTCCATCATGTGATGGCCATTGTGATCTTGGTCAACTTTCATGCTTATTTCTCTATCACAAAAATGGAATGACAGCAGCTGCCTTTCAGAATCACTCAACCATATTGAATAAGCACTTGCTACGTGCCAAGGCCTATGCTGGGTCCAGGGAGAGTGAGGCAAAAGATACACACAGAGCCTTCAGTAGGAGCTCACATTTAAAGTTGTGGGATGTCACTGCTTCTCTCTGGGCTAAGAATCCCTGCTGGTCTCCCTTGGGAGGCTGCCACAAAGCTTCAGTGAGCTGATAGTGGACAGGCTGCCTGAACGTGGTCCAGATGAAGCTGATATCATCATCAAGTTTAATGCAAGTATTAATACCTTGGACTGTGGTCAGACATTTGTATTTGGATGGGAATATCTTTGGAGAGCTGGTTTAATTCATGTGGAAGATACTGAATGAGAAGCAGGTAGGGTGAACTCTACCACAGACTGAAGCAACTTCAGTCACCTAGAGAGGCGGCTATGATTGTAAACAGGCCACATGGCTTTCAAAGGAACACATGACTGTCATTACCCTTCTGAAAATGAGACCCAATAGAAGGCAAGGCTATCAGTAGTCTAGCTGCCTTCTCAGCTTATAGGGCATTGTGTTGAGTCTAAAGGACAGGAAGGATGGGTTGGGAGGCCCCACAGTTAGGAGGCAAAAAGACTGTTTAGCAGTGTCAAGAACAAAGGTCATTGCCAGGCTAGCTGCTGTCCCTGGCTTTGCACTTACTCCATGTGGTTTATCATGAGCCTATCAGCAGAGAGAATACATCAACTCCAAAGTCATAGTACCCAAACCATGAAAGAAAAGGCCCTGCTCTGATGACACTGTAGGTAGAGGCAGCTCCTGCAACAGGAGTAGAGGTAAGACCCAGTTGGGGTGGGCCAGCCAAGGTATCCAAGTAGTTCACTTATTTGCCTGGAGCACAGAGCTGGAGGAGGCTGGTGGGATGGGTACGGCCAGGTCACTCAGGCCTGGTGGACCACATTGAGGAGTCTAGGCTCTGTCCTGAGGATGATAGGGAGCTACCAAAAGATCTAAGCAGGAGAGAGATAAGGTCAGATTTGCATTTTGGAAAGATCACTGTGGTGATGAATAGTTAGGAGAGGGTCATCTAAATCCCAGAGTAGCAGTTCTTAAACTGCCACATGTATTAGATTTAGGTAAAACGCTTGAAAACACATATTACTGGGCTCATTCCTTGATGGCCTAGGGCAGGACTGAGCATTCAAGCTCCCAGGTGATGCTAATGAAGCTGGTCTGGGTCACACACCTGGATAACTGCTGCTTTGACCTTTGCAGTGGTTGAGGCACCAGCAACTTTGGCATCCAGGAAGCTGATTAAACTCTCCGTGCCACCCCAGACAGACCTTTAACAAAGTTTGAGTGGTTTGTATGTATGTTAAAGCTCAAGAAGTACTTGTCTGTCAGACTAGCTCTCATTGAAGACTTGGGGCCTGGCAGTCAGGAGCACAGGCTTTCAGTTCTGATCAATCAAAACTCCCTATGTGACCCTGCAGTTTACCTCTAATAGGAGACTTGGCCGATTTCTAACAGGGCTCTACTATGAGGGGCTTTCTGTTAAAAGTAGGTGGACACCTGTGAGTCCTGCTGTCTCTAACACTTCTCTTGCAGATGGCTGGGCTTTTAAGAACAATGTGGACATCAGGCAGCACCAGAACCTCCAGGACCGCCTGTGGGCCGCCCACCTGCTGCTGGCTAGGAGCCCCCAGTGCCCGGTGGTGGTGGACACGATGCAGAACCTGAGCAGCCAGCAGTATGCGGCCCTGCCCGAGAGGCTCTACATACTCCAGGAGGGCAGGATCCTCTATAAGGTGGTGACCCCGGGATTAGGGATCCAGGAAAGGGCAAGCAGGGGAGGGGGTAGTCAAGGGAGGACATAGGGCATAGGAGGACTTTGTCTCAGGGAGAGCTGAGTTCAGTTATCACTTACCATGTCACCACAGGTGAGTTCTTTCACCTTAAAGCCTTTCAGTTTCCTTTTCTTCAAAACGAGATTTGCTGGGCATGGTGGCACACACCTTTAATCCCAACATTCAGGAGGGAGAGGCAGTCGGATCTCTGTGAGTTCAAGATCAGCCAGGACTACATAGTGAGTTCCAGGCCAGCTGGGGCTACAGAGAGACCCTGTCTCAAAAAGATAAAAAAATAATAATAATAAAATAAAATAAATAAAACTAAATCTAAAATAAAACAAAATGAGATTAGTCTCAACCTGGTGGGATGTGAAGTGATGCCCAGGAAAGTGCCGGCATTTGGACCAGCGGTGCAACCTCCTGACTACCTCTGTACCAAGGACTGGCCCAGCCCTTATTTGTTGTTTGGGGTTTTTAAATTACATTTTTGTTTATCCATTTTGTGTTCCTGGAGGGGGGAACACAAGTGCCACTGTGCACGTGTACGTGAGAGGGTAACTTGTGGGAGTCAGTTCTCTTTGTCCGCAGCTGGGTTCCAAAGATCATACTCAGGTCATCAGGCTTGGCAGCAGGATCCTTTACTTGCTGGATCATCACACTGGTCCTTGGCTTTAAGCTGAGAGAGAAAATGTTATTTCCATTTCATATATGGTGCTCAGAGAAGGAATGATTTGCCCAAGGTCACTAGGTAAGGCTTTGATTCCAATTAGAAATGGCTTGAGTGGGATGCAGCAGAAGAGGAAGGCTCTGAAGCTGTCATTGCTGAGACAGACCTAACCCTGGAGAACTGGAGGACCCTGAAGAGAACCTGATGAATAGAAGCTGGAAATGATACAGGGATGTGACTCAGGAGGTGAGGCCTCTGACCCCTCAGACACTATTGACCTCCCTTGAGAGAAGACGCTAAGTTTTATAGCTGCTGAAGGGATTGCAAGCCTTGGTGAACAGAAGCCACATAATCACATGGATGCCGTGCTGGCTCACAGTCTGCAGGTGAAGCGAGAAACACCTGCAGGTGGAGTTGCAGGGTGCAAGGGTCACAGGAGACGGCCTACTTCCTGCCTCTCTTCAAGAGACCTTGTTTTGAGATTGCATGATTGAGTCAAGCTGGGCACTGAGTCCTACCCTGGGTTAGGCCCTTTGCAGGTACTAGAAATACAATATGAATTTAAAATGACCCCTTACCCTACTTCAAGCTATCATAGTCTAGAGGACAAGAGTAACGGAGCTGCAGAGATGCCTCAGTCAGTAATGAGCTTGCCACATAAGCATAAGGACCTGAATGTGATTCCCAGAACCCATATAAAATTGCTCAGCGTGGTGGCATATGCTTATAATGTCAGTGCTAGGGAGATGGGACAGGCTTAATGGCCAGACAGCCTAGACTAATTGGCAAGTCCCAGATCAGACCCTGTCTCAAAAAAACAAGATGAATGGCTCCTGAGGAACAACACCCAAGGTTGACCTTTGGGTTCTATGTGCGCCTGTACAAATACACACACACACACACACGAAAAAGAAAGAGTAGTAATATAGTATCCCAAGTTCTGTGAGATTCCAGAGCAGAGGTCAGCAAACCTTTCCTGTTAGTGAGCCAGATAGTAAATGTTTTTACTTCAGGGGCAAATCTCTGAATTCGCAAACAATTTGATTCTGCCTTTAGAACAGTGAAGTAAGGACAATATGTAAATCAAAGAGTGAAGTGTTGGGATTGATCTGGCTCTCAAACTTCAGGTTTACAACCTCTGGAGAAGGGCAGGCTTTTTGGAAGATGTGGCCAGCTTGGGCCTTGAACTGTACAAGTCAGCCAAGCAAGCATGGAGAGGAAAATTCATTGAGACTATAGGGAAGCAGGTGGGCAAGATATGAGGCATATTAGGGCAGGGCATGAGTAGGGAATTTGGCATTTGGACTCCCAGAGATTCTGGACCAGGGAGCTTTACCTTCAACCAAGGGCCAAGAGGAGCCATTAAAAGGTTTTGACCAGAGGAGGCAGGATCTGAGCAGATCAGATCTATACCTTAGAATGATCACTGACTTCTGGGAAGAAAGGACAAGAGGGAGTAGTGACTGAAGACAGAAGGTACTACAGTTGCTTAAAAATCAGGGTGAAGAGGGCTAACCTAGGGCAAGAGGATCTGGAAAGCCAGAGGGGTTCTTCTGTAGAATGGACAGAGCTCTGTGTCTGTCTGATGTCAGAAGAGGTTATGGTATCACCACCTTCCTCCTAACCCTCTGCCACTTGGCCTCCCTTAGTTCCCCTCCTACTTCCCTGCTCAGTCTTCAAGGTAAGTGTTGGTGCCACTCTACGCGTTTTTCTTGGGTGACAAGATCCATTTCAAGGCAGTATCTGTGTTGATGATTCCCACATAGATGTTATTGGCCTGCATCTCCCAGCCAAGCTCCAGACTCCCACATTCCTCTAAGGTGGGATCTGGGAACACCTGTTTCATGTCTCTTACAGGGTAAACCTGGCCCTTGGAACTACAATCCAGAGGAAGTCCGTGCTGTTCTAGAAAGGCTTTGTACTTCACCTGGACACATCCCTCAATTCTAGAGGACCAGCAGGAGGGTTCCCCATGCTTGGTGTACCCCCTAAGTTCTAATGTCCTTTATCTTTGACCCATTTTTCCAGCTGACCTAAGCTTAGATTTTTCTGATCTAAAGCACTCCCAGTGAAGCAAGGCAGGTCACAGTACCCAACCAGCAGAAGTTGTTACAACCAGAAAACAAAGAAATGCTTGAGCTGTTGAGGAACGTGAATGTAAAATGCCACACTGCTCCCACAGAGGAGAGCACGTCCAGTGTACATCTGGTGGGGGCAGTCATGCTTCGCTGGTGTGCTTCTGAAGTATAGTTTCTGATGATGACATCATTCGACGAGGCATCCTTCACATTCCGTAAATTCATCTGACCAAATTTGCCACTTGTAGAATCATAGATGCTCAACCGGGGTTTCAGCTAGTTTTTAGGACAGAGCTTGGGAAGAATTCCTCCTTGTTTACAAGAGAAGGTGGGAAGAGAAGGCAACAGAAACCCTTTTCTTTCCAAAAGATTGAAATCAGTCATTAATGTTAGTGATGGGTGAGTTTCCATGGCAACACATCTCCAATTCCACTCCCTTTGCCATCCTTGCATAGATTTCACAGAACTCTGGATCTCTGGTACTGGAGTCTTTTTGGCCTCCCCAGAGCTTTATAATCTTGACCAAACCAAATGATAGGTGCCAGCAAAAGCTGCCATTCAGCTACTGTTTGAAGCTTTTCTGCTGACTCACAAGTCTCTTATTGGTGCTTTGTGTTAGATGACAACAGCCTGGTGGGTAACCATTGGTTCATCTATTGGGACTGCTTCTTTTCATATTTGTTCATGATGGCTACAGTGTAAAGTATACACAGCTGTGGCTTGATTTTAAAATGTCTTAAGATGCAGCAAGCTAACAACAATTAAAATCTATCAGGCTATTTTGAATGGCTTCAGAGTGATCTTTACATTTTCTTTGCCTACTTGCATTGACCCAAATCTATCTTTTATTCTAGCCCAAATATCATTTGATCAGCTAAAATATCATTTGCTAGAGGGGCCTCATTTGGGGGAGAGAACACCTAGTCTTCACATGATACATGTCACGTATTTGTCTTCTGAAATCCTGCTGAAGGGAAGTACTGTTCACTTGCAGCCACTGTCCCTTCACAAGGAACTAAAGAATGGACTTGGGAGATTCTGCTACCATGCAGACACTTTCTCCTTGACTTTGTCCTAGAGGGTACAGCGTGAATATTTTTTAATATTTCATTTATTATTTTTATTTCATGTGTACGAATGTTTTGCCTGTATGTATATACATGCACTATGTGCATGCAATGCCCACAGAGGCCCGAAGAGGGTGTCAGATCCCCTGGAACTAGAGTTACAGATAGTTGTTAGCCATCATGTGGGTTCTGGGAATCAAATCTGGGTCCTCTGGAAGAACTTCAAATGGTCTTAACCGTTGAGCCTTTCCTCCAGCCCCCAGTGTGAATATTTTAATGTTGCCATTTTATTTACTTATTTACTTAATATCTTATTTGTGTGTTGTGTGTGTGTGTGTGTGTGTGTGTGTGTATGAGTGTATGAGTGTATTGCCTGCATGTATGTAAGTGCACCTGTGTTGTGTAATGCCTGCAGAGGTCAGAAGAGGGTGTGGGATTCCCTAGAACTGGAGTTACAGATGGTTGTTAGCCACCATGTTGGTGCTGGGAACCCAATCTGGGTCCTCTGCAAGAGCAGCCAGTGCTCTAAACCACTGATCCATCTCTCCAGCCCTCTTTATTTTGGTGAGAACTAACAGGGTCTAGTTATATAGCCCAGACTGGCCTTCAACTTGAAATCTTCATACTCAGACTTCAGGTAGCTGGAACTACAGGTGTGTACCACTGTGCCATGCCATTTTACTCTTTTAATTAATTAATTTGTTTTATTTTATTTTCTTGAGACAGGGTCTCATGTAGCTCAAGTTGGCCTCAAACTCTTTATGCAGCCAAGGCTTGCTTCAAGCTCCTGATTTTCTTGCCTCCACCTCCCAAGTACTGAGACAACAGGCATGTGCCATTATACCCCGCCATTTTAGTCTTTTAAAAATAATGATTAATGCTGGGGTGGTGCTGTATGCCTGCAATTCTAGCACTTGAGAGACAGCAGCAGGAGGACTCTGTTTCATGCCAGCCTGGGCTATATAGTGAGACTCTGTCTCAAACAAAAACATTAGCTATTGGTCATCTCCCTAGCACAGGTACCTTAAGATGTATTCTTACTTAATTTTTTTAATCTCAAAGAGATTATTTATCCCAATTTTGTAAGTGAGGGAATCAAGGCTCAGAGTAGTATAAATTTTCTGAGCTAGTAAATAGCAGAGATTTGCACCCATCTCTGAGGTGAAGGCCAGAGCCTGGCTATGTTCCAGCTGCCTGTGTGATATTGCCACAATAACCAGAAGGTAAAGTAGGACATCAATAGTGTCTCCTCAGAGGAGTCATGAGCAAAACCTCAGAACTGTGCCTGGCTTGGAGAACGTGCCTCAGAAGTGCTGGCTGTTGTCATGATGTCATCTTATTGTCCCACAGCTGCCACCTTGGGCTCCCTTTTCTTTGGAGTGGGAGGGTGTGGAAGGACAGTAGGGACACTGCCAGTGAGCAGTATTCTTCCATGGTCTTTGGCCTCCAGGTTCCTGCCTCGAATTCTTGCCCTGACTTCTCTCAATGATAGATTCAACCTGAAGTATAAGATGAAATGAACCTTTTCTTCCCAAGTTGCTTTTGGTCACGGTGGTTATCACAGGAACAGGAAAGGAAACCAGAACAGCATGGCAAAGGCACTTGAGGCTGAGCAACTACCCTACAGAGAAAGGCACACTTAAAATTTGGGCAACCCTAATTGATGATGTGGGAGGTTTGGATATTTTTTTTTCCTTCAAACATGACCTCTCTGGGTCTGGATTCCAAGAATAAACCCATCTGCTTGCCTAGCATCATCAGGTACTGGTAGATGAAAGAGCACATTTCTATGACCCGGCAGGAGTAGAGCTTGCTTTCAGAACATCAGCTGACTTGAAGGACAGACTTCACCATAATGTATCTGCTTATTTGCTCTTTCTTTTTCTTTCTGTCTTTTCATTTTTCTTATTATTTATTTATTTATTGCACAGGATCAAATCCAGACTTCCTGTAGCTTAGACAAGTGCTCTCCCATTGAGCTATACCTCTAACCCCTGTGTCTACACTTGAAGGGAGGGCTTCCCCACTCCAGTTTGCTTGTACCTGAGGGTGATACCTTTTGTAGTGCTTGGCTACATGTGGGAACTCTGAGCCTGCAACTGACTCTGAAGGACAGAGGCAGTGTCTCTAGTGCCTGGCAGGTGGCTGAGGAAGCCAAAGCCAAAGCTTCGGTGCTGTTCATCTCCTGAGTGAGGCTCAGTTCATTGTTGCTCACAGAGTATTTAATTTCTGGTAAATTCAACCCTGAATTTAAAAGGGTTTATTGAAATATTTTATCCATACCAGGCATGGCAGCACACTCTTGTAATTCTAGTACTAAGAAGGCTGAGACGGGAAGATCTTGTCAAGGCTAGCCTGGGCTGCACAGTGAGTTTGAGAATAGCTTGGGCTATACATAATGAGAATAGAAAGATGATAGATGACACATAGATAGATTAGATAGATGATAGATAGATAGATAGATAGATAGACAGACAGACAGACAGACAGACAGACAGACAGACAGACAGATAGATAGCGATAGAGGGTTAGTGATAGAATCAGTATCATAGTTGTTTGACTGATGATGGACTCCAGGATACTTAATCTCCCCAACAGATTAGCTCACTGAAATCATCAGTAGTTTGTTTGCCAAGGGAGCCACATGGACCCCATATTCCCTGAATCTTTGCATGCTCACAAAGGCCAAGTTGCCAACTTTAGGCCTCAAGGATCTGTGGATTGACTAAGGATTCTTGTGTCTCATCCGTACCTTGGATTTTTGGACATTTCGAGATGTTCCAGCAGCAAACAGACAGATGTGTGAGGTGAGCCTGACTTATTTCTCCTGACACTTGGATCATTTTTATTCTGCCTGAAATCTGTCAGATCTTTCTTTAAACTTGAGGTCTAGAAACTCCACCAAGGCAAATTCCAGTATGGACTGTCCTATATCAAAAGTTCCTGGAATGCAGGAACCAGATGGAGTGCATCTGCCTATAGTCCCAGCTACTCAGTTGACTGAAGTAGGAGGATCCCTTGAATCTGGGAAGTCTTTGTGTAATTTCTCTCACAACAAATGTTGTGTCTTTATTTTCTTGGCTCTCTACCATCCTTTTGTTTTACAGTTTCCTGTCACAGGTCCCCATAATAATTTACAGTGGTTCTCAAATGCTGGCATGCATTAAAATCACCTAGAGGGCTTGATAAAAGATTCTTGGATTCTTGAGTCTCATTCCCAGAGGTTGGGGTTCAGTAGACCTGAAGGATGAACTGGGGAACCTGCAGCTCTAACAAATTCTCAGATGAAATAGATGCTGCTGTTCCAGGAACCGCCCTTACAGAAGTTGCTTTAGTGGATATTGTTGGCATTCTGCCAGATGCCTTGTCTACGCCAATGTTCTCATCTGCTAGCTGTTGTGAGTGCCAAGTGCTAATGGCCACAGATGCCCTTGTTCCTGAGAATTACCTTCAAACAACCATCTTACATTTAGGAGCCCTCTTACCCCAAGATTCCTGAGAGATTGTCCTCTATCTGAGTGTTGTCCTGTCAACGACTGGGTTGGAGTGTACAAAGGCTTATTCCTAGCAGTTAGAGGGCAGTATGCTTCTCTGGTCCCATTCGTGCCCAGGGCTAGTTATGGCGCTGGGCTGAGACGAGTCTTTGGCAGAAGCTATTTTGGGTTTACTTTTTTCGCTGTTCTCGGCTGCTCCTCACTTCCTTGGAGGGCTCGCCTGAGAGTACCCTCAATAAATCATTCTTCTATGAATCTACCAGCTGGGCCTGGTGGTGTGTGCCTAAAATCCCAACACTTGGAAGACAGGTGAACCAAGAGTTTGAGGCCAGTCTAGATTACAATGAAACCCTATCTCAAAACAAACAACAACAAAATCTCTAAAGAATCTACCCTAAACCACTGCCCCTGGATTCTCCTCCTCTTCCTCTTCCTCTTCCTCCTCCTCCTCCTCCTTTTTCCTCCTCCCTCCTCCCTCTCTTTCCTTCTGCCTCCCTCCCTTCCTGCATTTCTTCTTCATTCTCCTTTCTTCTTCCCTCCCTCCCTCCATCTGAGGCAGGGCTATGTAGTCCAGACTGGTTTTGAACTCATGATCCTCCTGCTCCTGCCCCTTGAGTGCTGGGATTCTAGATGCTCACTACCATGCCCTAATAGTCTTCTTTGGAGGGGGACTTGTTATTTGCTGAAACCAGAAGTGTAGGATGAGGAGTCAACTGGGTCAAGCTGCGACTTTTGTTCAAATTAGATGTCTTGAGTATGCTCTTTTTTTTTTTTTTTAAAAAAAAAAAAAGGGTTTTTTTTTTGGTTGGGGGCCTTTTTGAATTGTTG